TGTATATATATATATATATATATATACACTCGAGTGAAAGAGAATTAACCAAACCATTCTGTATTCATCTATATCTAAATATTTTTTCGTTATAAGTATATCATGTAGGACAGGAGCAGATTAGTCTTCTTAACTTAGTGTTAACTTGAGACTTTTGCTCTAATGATGTTCATCATGTGATGTACGAAGGCTTATCCCGTGTTCATCCGAAACGAGAAAGGATTAGGCGTGGGCTGCGTCAACCTGAACGTCATATTAAGGCCAAACAGTTGCAGTACAACAGCAATCAACCGTCATCTTCTGGTGAGATCGACCTTCGAGTGTCATGCACTTTAATACGAAATTAAAGTCTCCACAACAATGTTATCTTAAGAGGCTTATCTAAACCCGCTTTTTCTTCTTATATACAAGGGGGACTAAGCAGATCTATTCAGCAAAAGTTTTGGATTGTTCATGGTTGGTAATAAATCAGTAATAAATTTAAATGCATATAGAAAATACTTTCTTTAACTTGATTTGAATTGTCATAACTAAGGTTTAATTACAGTAATTAACTTGTCACAAAACCAGTGTGGATATCAGATTGGCCATGCCAATGCAGTCCGGTATTTTTCATTCTCTTTTTATTTCCCTCTGGCCTAAGGCCACACTTTTACTTAACCCTTCAGCAACGTTTCGATAACGACTGGCCGAATGGCCGAGTGGTTATCGTGTCAAGCTCACATGCCTCATCGTCACGGTTCGATTCCCGCCCGGGGTGTTGATAAGACCTATGCGAGGTCGAAGCTGCAGTCCACCCTGAATAATAACAACTTTTGGGAAAGCAAAGCTCTGTGAAATTCAATGGAAAAGTCAGCTATACTCATATCATTGTGGGAAAATTCTAATACCAGTCCTTCATCAGCTTAAACGAAATAGGGTGAATACATCTCATATAGCCTTGCTTAAATTAATTAAAGAATAAAGAGATGAATTAATAGAAAGACGAATGTAAGAAGTAATTATCAAAGAATAAGAATGTAAGGATGAGTAAATGGCTTAATGGATGAATAAGATTAATAATAGAAGTGGTTTGACCTGGTTTTCGCAACATGGTCCTGTTGTCAGAATGACTTAGTAGAACGCACCTTGTCCTAAGTGGACTTGGTCTGATGCTGGGGCTTATGCTAACCGCAATGTCAGAGGACTTCGTACAAGGTGCATTCTAATAAGTCACCCTGACAACAAGACCAAGTTGCGAAAACGAGATCGACCTACTCTTATAAAACAAAATAAGAATACGACCATACCAAGGGCCCCACCATCTTGATCTTCATATCTAAGATTAATAATAGATGGTGAAGTTATTTATAAATAATAATGATAAAAGTCCAAAGCATAACTTAAAATGCATGCATTGCCCTTATCATCGCTTAATATCCACATAGCTTAAAGTAAATAATAAGGTACGATGAATAAATGATGTATGTAAAAATAGACGATACAGAAAAGCTCATGATTGCCTACATTAAATGAAAATACTGAAGAAAATATAGAAAAACTACGGATAGACACACAGACCTTAATGTTAATACCCAATATTGGACATGTGTATTTTTGAGGGGGTAAATGCAACATAAAAGTCAAACAATCGATTATTGAACATTTATAAAAAAACATGATAATAAAATATAAAGATAAATTTCGAGGCCTCTTTTCAGCTTAGTAAGTCAGAAGTATTTAAACCACAAAATGAACCGAGCGACAAATAAACAATTGGTGAAAGAAAGCAATGTGAAATGGAATGTTTCGGAGCTAACATTTCTAAGGAGTTAGTGATAGGTAAAAAAGAAACTCGCTTAAAAATAATCGCCAAAACCTCAAGCTTTAGAAAAAAAGGCATTTTAAGGCTTTTAGTTTATTTAAATCCTATGTAATCCCAGTCTATTATTGCACATGTAGACATTCAGACGCATATTCTTCTGCTCGTTCGACATGCTTTATTATCTGTGCCGCAAGTAATTCCTGAAAAACTGTGGTTAACATTGGCAGACAATATAAAAGTGGGCTAGGACGTGTAAACCATTTTTAGAGTGGATGATACGAATATGCCGGATAACTATAACAAGTCTCGTTATTCTAGTGCTGAGTTCAATCTGAGATATTAAAAAAATTGTCTGACAGTCGTAGTGATTATTTCACATGAGGGCCAACTTAAAGGAGACGGCGTAAGAGTTATATTAATGTTTACAGTAGGCCTAGCACCCGAATTTCATCAGCATCAGGTAGTAGGAAGGAGAATCAAACAATTCGAGTATATTCAAATAATTTGCCTTAAGTTTAATTTTACATCTGACAAAACCTTATCCAAAGAGCCTTGCCGAGTAATAGTTATTCAGAAGAAAGCATAGACAAACCTTAGTCAAAAGGAAAAGTGTATTGTGAATGAAAAGTTTTGCAAAAGAGCACATCCTATTATCAATGCTTCCTTGATACCGCTATACTCTGATTGGTCGACTAATCTGTTGCTAAGATACACAAGGCATTTGTTTTTTCTGCCTGATAATTTTACATTAGTTCGATTGATCATATCAAGGCTTGCTTGCTTTAATGCAAGTTAGCAAGAACCGTTAAGAGTGGTCAGCGTTTTATTAAAAAGAGGACCTAATATTACCCAGCTATGTGAAAAACATTCCAGTGTATGCGCCCTAGTTTTTTTATTTCCTTTTATCTATTGGAGGAATATGATCAAAAGTGAAATAAATAGAAGCGGGCGGAATAATATTAATGGAACAAGATTAGGACTCGAAGATATGAAGCTCAGGATGGTGTGGTCTTTTGCATGGTAACGGTCTCCTTTCGCTGTATAGAAGTTGTTAGCAAATTGATCATATTGACGAGAAGACCTAGAAGAATGCACCTTGTGCGGAGTCCATGGTATGCATGATAATTTCCAGAGTCGGATAGTGAACTTGTGTTATAAACACAATTGGTCAAAGGATCGACTTCACTTGTCTTTGACGAGTTGTAGTCTGGTGCTAAAAATGGCAAAGCTCATTGACGATGCTGACTACGATGCCGGCGGAACGTCCACGGTCCGACTCTGGAAATTATCATGCATACTATGTATTCCGGACAAGGTGCGTTCATCTAGGTCTTCATGGTAATATGAACAAGTTGCGAAAATAAGGTCAAACAACTTTTAAACATTAAGACTGCTTATATAACATAAAGTTATGGTAGATAATTACATAGTTTTCGTTTATAAGTAGGATTTTGAGACTACCAGGAGATAATATATATGAGTTATATTGATTCTAGCTCATTTAGAGTGATGAGTCCAGTTCCATTATCATCATAAACGAAATAAGGTGAATACATCCCATATATATGATATACTATTACTCTCAAAAGCCTATCATAGAGGGAAAGAAATAAGTAGCGTAGTCGAATGCCATAGTAAATACAACTTTGTTTCATCGACAATCTCACCACACAATGTAATATGGGAAAAGGCATGTCCTTCCTTGAAATTCACATCTGCCCCATGACCCAGTGGCACTCGTAGGAATGTGTTGTAGTGCTTAACGTGTCGAGATTATACGCTACACTGTCATGGTTCGAGTCCCAATAAGGTTATTGATAAGACCAAGGTGACGTCGAAATTGCAAACCACCATGGATGAGAATAACCTTTGGGAAAGCGAGGCTATGTGAAATTTAATGGAAACGTTATATCTACCCATAGAATTGTGGCAAAATTCAATCAACAGTCCTTTTATCCTCCTAAACGAAAAAGAAAAAATATATCTCATACATAGATTATTACAGAGCCTAAAAAATAATTCCCACTCTGGTTACAATCGTTTATTGTTCCTTAATTACACCTTAACCAAACAAATCTAAAATGATAATAATATAATAGCTTATATATAAGAAATTATGAAAAAAAATAGACGACGATAATATCAATCATAACGACTCATGTTCGACGTATCCGACTTCTATATTTATGTACAATCAAAAAAACTATAAAATTTTAACTTGTCAATCCTCTACAATATGGTGTCTTCGTAAGCTAGATTATACATTCTGGTAAAGGCATCTACCGAAATTACTAACCCTGGGTCGATAAACTCTGTCGATCTGGGGTGTCCTTGACTTGGTCCTGGCCAGGTGACTGGGTAGCTCGTAGCAGGGATGCCTCGTCGACCCGAGCCCTCTGCATTGCTTCCAGCACAGCAGCAATCTCGGCAGAAAGTCCTGATTCGGATTGCTGGTTGGAATTAGACTCGGTGCCAACTTCATTGTTAGCCGACCTAAAGCCAGAGCCCCCTTTGCCTCGTGACGAAGTGTGCAAAGCTTCCAAACCAGATTTTCCAGTGGACCCAGCATTCTCGTCCGAGTCGCCATGAGCAACTCCCACGTAAAGCATCACGTTTACTGCATCAGAAATGTCTAAATGTAGGTTCGTTGTCCCTAACTATATAAAAACAAAGATAAAAGGTGATAAAGAGAGCCAATTACTATATGATTATATTAGTATACGGAGTAAAAGCAAACTAAGGTATCAAAGCAACGAGTAAGAGACTTCATTAGGTATTTGGGAACAAATTTACT